AATGTGGTTCAGCATTACCTTGTCCTCTGGATGAATCAGGAAAGTGTGGTAAATCCTGTGCTTTCCCTTTCCCCATTCATCTGAAAACCCTTTGAAGCAGGGCGACATCTGCTCCCTCAAATAAAAGCTCACATCTGAGAGCACAGAAACAGCAATGTTCCCCAAATCTGTCTGGTCTGTGGGCAGCACTGTTAAACAGTATATTTTTGGCTCACCTCTCACTGCATAAACTCTATTTAACCCTGCTAGCTCATCAGCTGTAGCAAAAACAAATTTGCACAAATCAAACTGAAATAAAACTTGCTGCTTTGTTGTTTTGTTTTATTCAGGCAGGTGGGGTTGCCTCTGGGTTTAATCACGTTGTTACTAATGATCTGAGTGCTCAGAGGCTTCTGCACATCAAGGGCCGGAGGGTTGTGAGAGCCACAGAAGTCCCCCTAGCTTGGACCAGCTTCAACAGAGGAGACTGTTTCATTATTGACCTCGGAACCGTAAGTCTTTCCTAGAGCAAAACACATTGAAAAGTAAGAGAAGCATCATTCATTCTAAGACTTGAACCATCCCCTAAAATGCACAACTGATTTTGTCATTTACCCAAACTGACAGAAAGAATCTGCTTTAGAAAATCAGTTTTAGTGTCGTGACACTTTGAAGGTTCAAAACTGCCCTAAATGTTTTCTGAAGTATGCATAGATTATCCTTCAGGAAACAGTTTGCTTTCCCACTCAAGGCATTGGGATTTTTTACTACGGATGCTTGAACCTTAAGCTGTAGACAGTAAGTCCTGTCTGACTTTGACGCTATCCACCATCTGAATGCGATCAGTGCTAGGATTCAGAGCAGAACACAGATCAGACCTTTCTCTTAAGAACATTTCTTCATATTCATGAAACTTTGATCGTGACAAATCACCCTAAAGAAATAGCTGCAAAAGAGGTTGTCATAATAAACTTGTCATACAATGTGTTGTAAAATTACTTAAGTATTTCATGAGATCACTTGAGAAGCGATCCCATACTTCACGGCTTTCTGCTGAAAGCAAGTAGAGAGACTTAACACGGAAGCATATGGACAGATAAGATAATTTGGCTTGCTTCAGATGATTTGAAGTATAGTGCTGTCACCTAAGTATCAAAAAGTCTTAAAATTAATTCTAAAAGTAGCGGCTGGGATGTAGTCCATGCTAGTTATATGCTAGTTATCAGTTTGAAATTATTCCCATGCATATGCTGACATGTATAAAATGAAGAACATGTGAAAGAAAATAGCTTATCTGCAAGGCAGCAACTGCAGTTTGTGGTCAGTTACTTCAGCAAGATTTCAGAGAAGAGTTCCCTGAGCTCTTTAGAAGAGGAGCTATTCTGAACTCCTGTTATGGGTTTGGCTGTTTCCTCTGAAAAGTATCTCCTGGTGTGGTAATTGAAGATATTGGTATCAAGGAGCTATATTGATTATTTCTTTTAGAATTTCATCATGCTTAGCAGACTTCAGATAGAACAACCAGTGTTTTTCCTAATTTTATCCCATTCCTCATACGCTACTATGGTCTAATCATCTGAAACAGCCAGGTGATCAGTATTGAAACAGCTATCTCTCAATGTTACTTTGTATTTAGGGTACATGGAAGATATCAAATTATCTATTCCCTTTCAGAGTTAACCTATGGGAGATGGGAAAGCTGGAACTAAACATTGATAGAAAGTGCTGCTTTTGCAGTCAGGCTGTCACAGGGCTTGAGTTTTCTGGTTTGGAGTTAACCTCCCATGGACACCCTGTGGAATGCCCATGAACTTGACTTGTCCTGGCTCTTACTGTGCCACAGTTATCCAGCTCACCTAAAGTAATTACTTGGGTCACACTGCAGACATGACAGTGATGAAACACGCTATGGGTATATAATGGTGTTACACGTATAGCTTGGGGTTCATCCCTTTTAATGAGACTTGTTGAGGAGAGCACTGTCACTAAGCAATTTAAATGTAATGTGGCATTAAAGTCTTGATTTCTAATACTGAACGTACATTGTGAACCTTTTTCTTTTTTAGTGTAACATCACTCTGGTTTCTGATTTCCTGTCTGACAAGACAGAGGTCAAGCAGCAATGCAACCCTGTGCCTTTGTAGGAAGAAAGATTAGATGTGAACAACATCTAGATCTCTTCTTTACCACGCTATGGGAAATGTCAGTCAAATCACATGACTAATAGCAGTTCTTGGTCTTGTGTCAGTGGTATACCAGGGATGGGTTTTTTTGGATGTATTAACAAGTTAAGGAAAAAAGTGTTTTAGCATCCAGACATTTGTAGTAATTTCATCATAGGTTATGTAAACCAGACCTTTCTTGTGGGAGATGAAAAGGCAACGTGTGGCACACTTGAAGATGAAGATATGTCAGTCTAGTGAAGTGCCTGTAGAGAATAGGTGTGGTAGAAAATCCACTGTCACAGTGGAAACCTTGAGCAAGTTTTACAAGAAGTATATTTCAAGCTGAAATAACTGTATTTCAGATTGAAATTTTTCATGAGTAAAGGTCCACTGTAAATAAGTGAGTCTTTACAGGAGCTCTTAATTGAATTTAAGGATCCTTTAAAAAAGAAAGATTTTTGGCTCAAGTAGATTCCTTTACTTAATTGAAATAAAACGAATCTTGAATAGGATTGCTCTTGATTCTTGGGATTTATTGCAGGGCACTACTGAATCATTTTATGAGAATAATGGGCAGTAATTGCATAAAATAATGAGCTTATGGTCAGTGCTTTTAATATCAAATTATTGTAGCATGTCAAATAAGGGAATTTCCAAGACTTACTGTTCCCAGTCTTAGCTAATGAGAAGAATGGTCCCCATGCCACTGCAAAACTGCTTGTGCAGTCCATTTCCTGTTACATTTTATCAAGCCACTTATCTAATGCAGTGAAAAATCACTTTTGTTTTCCCACTGAGCTCAGTTACAGCAGTGTTTTAGACCTGTGGCTTGAACAGATAAGGGAAAATTGAGAAAGGTAATAATTATCAGGAATAAACTCATTAAAGTCGCTAAGGTTTCCCTCCTGGTGATAATGCCTTAAGTAAAAAGCGTTTGTGTCTATTTCTAGCTAGGTGCACATATTCACAGTTCATGTTCTGATGGTTACCTCATATTTAGGTGTGTTGCTAAACCACTTTTACAACACTTCAAATACCCTGCCCAGGTCTTACCTTGCCTTCTTTGAACTCTCCAGGCTGGAACAGAAAACAGCTGCAGATGGCAGACAAAATGCTGTCTCTGATATGAGGGGAGTCATTAGCTGTGGGTAATGTGCAAAGGCCTTTTATTTGAACAGTCTTCTGTAAGACCATGACATGAGCACTGTGATCACCAGACTGATGTTACAGTGCAATGAGTGATTCAGGAGGGTGCCTGGGGTGCCAGACCCTGATTTATGGTTTGGTGGTGGATTTTTTTTTTCTACAAGGGATTTCCATGACACCTCCTTGACAAACCTGGGAATCTCCCTGGAAGGGAGCCTTTGGGACAGGACAGGCAAGACAAGAGCAAGTTGCTGAGGAGGCTTTGTACAGGCCTGGAGTAAAGCACACCTTACCTTGTCAGGTTCTGCATAGCACATCCTAACCCAGCATAGGCGTGCTCAAGCCCTCCCAGAAGCCATGGTCTTCTGCCACGCTTCCCATCCTGTCCTTTTGGCTGGAGGGTGCTGAGCTCTTCCTGGTGTCCCACCTGAGAGGCAGTTCTTGGTGACCACAAACTGCCTGGCGTTGCGCTGTGCTGTCCCCTTTACCTCCAGATGCAGCTCTCCCTGCATCACCCCATCCTCCAGCCACCTCCCCTAAGCCACATCTCTTTCTTCCTCCACCACCAAGACACATTCTCAAAACAGCAAGGAGCACAAGAGGGCATGGAAAATGACAGTGAAAGGGAAGGAAAAAGATTAATCATTGTGCCATTCAGTGAATAACATACACACTGTTTCCCAGGCTATTTTAGTATTATCCAGAAGCTTATGTTAATATAGCTTATATATTTATATTTCTGATAAGATGTACTAAAGACTTTAATTTCTTTTGTCAATATTCTTCGTGTTTGGCTTAAAATGGGAAGGAAACTTACAGTATTGTGAAGTTCACCCTATGTATGTTGGTGTACACTGGTGATGTACAAAATGTGAATGTTGAGACATGTTGCTAATTTGCATACTTATCAAAACATGGAGCAGAAGTAATGGGAATAGTGAAGCTACGTGAAGTGATCCGCTGATTTTATTGAAAGCTTCTCAGCTCAGTTTGGGAAGCTCTGCTGGGTGAAGGCTGTCTAAAGTTGTATCCTTAGTGACAAGCAAAAATATTCTCTATGCGTTTGTTCAGATAGACTGGTTGTCTCTGACTTCTGTCTTGTTGGGAGGCAGCAGCAGTGCTATGAGCCAAGTGACTGCAGAGGGCAGGGAGAGGGCTGCGTACCACCCAGCCTCCTGGAAGAAATTAGGAGACAGTTGTTAAAATAAGGAGGAGGGTATGTGTGATAAGCATCAAGCAGTTCTGACCTTGGGCCTAACTGAGGCTGGAAAGTTTTGTCAGTACAATCAAAGTTCTGCTAATGAAATGTTACCCTCCTTCCCAAAGGAAGAATGTAGACAGTGAGGTGATAACTGTATCTCAAGTTAAGTGAAGACTGATGATAAACTGCACTTAGTTGTCTATCCTTCCCATTCCTATAGTGGTGCTGATAAACTGATTTATAAACAGCCAAGGGGTTGCTGGTTTGAAATTTAAGGGCCTGCAGTGTGCTTAAAGACAACTTCTTGTGCCATTCGGCAATCAATGCATGTACTTCTCAAGGGCTCCATGAATCACAAGTGAAAATTATGATGTTAGAGCTCAAAAGTATGAGACTGAATAAAGCTGTTGTGATCATGTATCTGTCAGTATGCTCCTACCTGAACTCCTGACATATAGGTATGTCAAAAGGAAAAAGATTGCTGTCTTGCACAAAGACACTAGAAAAAATGCATCAAAGCAAAAAGGCTGGCTTTTTTTTGACAGCTGCTTTTCATAAAAACCATTAACTTGCTATAGATTAAATTATGTTTACAAAAAAAACTTCTGCTTTTTAACAGTAAAAGACCAAGATGACAGATACTTGCTTTATGACTGTGTCTGTGGGGTATGATTCAACATCACATTGCAACCGTAAACACAGTTAGTAGTTTTGCTTGCTTCTGTAATCTGCCTGCCTTCTTGCCTGCACGATCTCTTCTAGGTGGCTTTGCTTCTCTTCATGTTGAGAACCCAGTTCACAATAAGCATATTAATTGCTCTAATAAAGTCACCGCTTGGGTATAAACAGGACTGGAAGAGCAGATTCTTGCACGTTGGAGTTCATCACTTTAAGTTTCTCTTTCTAGTTGCTTTCCCTGGCACTAACAACCAACTACTCATGTCCTTTTTCCATGTTTTTCCTTCACATGGTTTCTCCTAACCTCTTCCCCAGTTTCCCC